AGGACCCTGCAAAAACTCTAAATCCACAGCAGATGTTTCCAATATGAAAGGTCCCATAGAGTGTTTTGCTTGAACCACCCTTTTTTTACATTCTTGAGACGTTTCAGTGCCTCGGGGCCATCTGTTGCTTTCGGGAGTTCACACATTCCCAAAGTTCCTCTCCTGACATGATGTGAGGTGGTGAACCTTTTTCGACTTTGTTTTTACAAAATGCGTTTTTAATATTTCGAAAAGGATGATTTGTCGGAAGGAATTGACGATGGCAGTCAAACCAAGAAACCTTACCACCATTTTTGAGCCAAAATGCTTTGCTTTTCTCCATGCAATATGGACAAGCCTTCTTATCGGCTGTGGTCCAACCAGATAACATACCATAAGCCGGGAAGTCACTAACGGTCCATAGGATGGCTGCTCGAAGATTAAAATTTTGTTTTCTCGAAATACCGTAAGTATTTACCCCAACTTCCCACAACTGTTTCAACTCGTGTATGAGCGGCTGCATGTAAACATCCAAGTTGCCCTTAGGGTTTTTAGGACCAGGAACGAGTAACGAAAGAAACATGAACTGTCTTTTCATACACATTGACGGAGGCAAGTTATAAGGGGTCAAAATGACAGGCCAACATGAATATTGTCCCCTAAACTGACCATGTGGAGCAAATCCATCCGTACATAGGCCAAGTCGAACATTATGAGGTTCAGAGGCAAACTCAGGAAAACAACTATCTAGGTGTTTCCACGCTTCACTATCGCTAGGGTGTGCCATTGTGCCTTGAACTCGAGGATTTTTAGCATGCCATGTCATTTCCTCAGAAATGTTTTTAGTTGCAAAAAGCCTTTGCAACCTAGGTGTGATAGGGAAATAAAATAGAACATTCAAAGGTACTAAGCTACCTTTAGAAGTCTTCTTGTATCGGTCGCTGCCACACACCCTACATGTAGATAATTGAGCATCATCTTTCCAAAACAACATACATCCTTTCGGGCATGCATGAATCTTTTCATGGGGCAGCTCTAACCCCTTAACAATTTTCTTGACCTCATAGAATGTCTCGGCCATGTGGTTGTTGTTAGGGATCGCTTCATTAACCAAAGAAGCAAATCCATCAACACATCTGTGCGGCAAATTATACTCACACTTTAGTCTAGTGATTCTAGAAGCCATCTCTAACACAGACAATGAACTCCCTTCGTACAACGGTTGTTCAGAAGCCCTTGACAAATCAAAAATTGGCTTGGCTTGTGCATTAGGCTCCTCCTCTAATGAAACAGGTGGCTCTTCGGAATGGCCTTGATCTTGAGACTGACCAAAGGCATCCAAAACCATTTCACGATATTCATTTGACTCCCTTCTACGAGTTCCTGGAAACCCTTCCCCATTACACATCCACTCGTAGTAATTAGGTAAAAAACCGCTGCGATACAAATGAAGTTTGACCGTATCTGGATCCCAGAGACGTTTGTTTTTGCATTTAAAACATGGACACCTAACTTCATTCGAGTTGCTACTCTCGGGATGATCTTCCACATATTTAAGGAATTCATCTACCCCCTTCAAGAACTCAGGATTAATAGAATTCCCAACCTTCCTTTAGTACATCCAGCTACGTTCTTTTCGTTTCATGATTACAAGTTCTACACAACTAACAGATATGCCATTAATCACATTAGTCATAAAGCACAATATATATTCATTATAGATCAAACTGTTATGGAAATGCAAATGAGAAGAGAAATGATTTCCAAGGGTCCTTATCACTCCAATCTAACCCATCCTTGTACGTTCAATCTCACTAGTGAATGTATGCCAGAATTTCAATTCTATGGAAAATCCGACAGCATCTCCCTACAGTTCCCCGAGTACACAATATAGGCGATTAGAAAAACCTATATATGTACCTAGAGAACATTGTAGAGAAATGACAAACAAGGATCTTCCTTAGAATTAAAACAAAGGAATACATTCACCGCCTAAGTGAGAATAAACGTACAAGGACAGTCCCAACCGGGGACTATTCAAGACATACTCCTAATGTGTATGCCTTGAACGGGTATCTAGGCATATGATTATGCAAATGATTTTTTTAAAGATATTAAAACTAAACTAACATACAAAAAATTATACAAATATATCATAATTAAACTTAACATAAACAGACATATCATAAAACCTTAACATTAATATAAACAAATCAAACCAAACAAAACCAAACTAAACTAACATATCATAATATTAAATATAGTAACATGCATTATAAAAAAATTAAACTTAAGTAAGAAACATTATATTAAACTAAACAAAACTAAACTAGATTATAATGAACTAAAGTAATCTAACATACATCATATTAAACAAAACAAACAAAACGTACCTAAAGTTTCATAATATTAAACTAATCTAATATACTTTAGTAAAACTAAACTAAATTAAACCACATTATATTAAAATAAACTAAACTAAAGTTTCATAATATTAAACTAATCTAATATACTTTAGTAAAACTAAACTAAATTAAACTACATTATATTAAAATAAACTAAACTAACATACTTACAAAAAAGTAAACTACACTAAACTAAACTAACATACTTACAAAAAAAAAAAGTAACTAAACTAAACTAACACACATTATATTAGAATAAACTTAACGAAACTAAGTTATGTTAAACAAAACCAAACCAAACTAACATATATACGTTATATTAGGGTTTGTAATGTGACTAACCTTTAGATCTGCACTTCTTTTTGACAATTAAACCAATTGTACAAATCCTACATACAAAATATTTAAAAAAATAATTAAATTAAATAAATAAGGGTTTATTATTAAAAAAAAAATTAAAAAATTGGGGAAAGGACAACTTACGAACTGCTTCAGCCACGGCAAGGGAAGGGAGGAGGCCGGAGGTTGCGGTTGTGGTGGTCAAGGGAGGCTGCGGTTGTGGTGGTCAAGTCAGATTTGATTTTGTTTAAAAAAAACGAATAAAAAAAAAGAAAACAAAAAACAAAAACAACTTACTGAATTTTAAGGGGGAAGTGGCGTCGCCGGAAACAACCACCACCAGGTGGTTCAGTCACGGGTAGGGGACGGAGGTGCGCCGCATAGGCTGCGTTGTGGTGGTTAAATGTTAGCCGGTGGTGGTTTTTTTGCAAAATAAAAAAAAAAAAACTAATTTACGAAGGCAACACACTTACCTAGACGTGGCGGCGTCGCCGGAAACCACCAGGGTCGTTCTTTCTTCCTCGACGACTCTCTCTTCCTCCTTCTCTTTCTCTTTCTCTTTCTCTTTCTCGCTCTCCTCTCTCTTTCTTTCACCCTTCTTTCTCTCTTTCGTTCTTGGCGGCGAGTGTGCGTCGACTGTCGGTGTCACCGTCGCCGGTTACCGTCGCTGGAGATAACGCGCCGCCCTCTTTCTCTCTCTCCTTCTCTTTTTCTCTCTCCTTCTCTTTCTCTCTCTGCTGCTTCAATTGCTCTTTCCCCCTTTTTTTTTTAGGTCGAGCCAGATTGTTAATTTTCAAAAAAAAAAACCCAAATTTTGCGACGGAAATAAATTCCGTCGTAAACATAAATTTCCAACGGAATATTCCGTCGTAAAGTCGGAATATTCCGTCGGAAATTTATGTTTACGACGGAATTTATTTCCGTCGCAAAATTTACGACGGATACAGCCTCGTAACTCAACTTTTCCGTCGCTAAATTGCGACGAAACAAATTCCGTCGAAAAATGTGAACTTTGCGACGGAAAACGGGGTTCGTCGCAAAAATTCCGCCGCTATTTAGCCTATTTCTAGTAGTGTTCAATATGTCCAGTTTCATCTCAATATCACAAGAAGTTTACAAGCAGCCTTAATCTCTTGCAACTCACATTACACTAATTCACTGCATCAGATTTATTTACTGCTATTGTTGAAAATTCAAAAGCTCATAATTGGTTTATAAAATTGTAGTAATATGCATAACTTGTGTCACTACATTACCCCTTTAGTTTCAACTTCCATGTTTGCCGTAGTAAGTTAAAGCTAGAAATTGACAAATCTAATTGTTGACAACAAGAATTTAATTAGCACTTACAGCCTCTTCTTAATTCAATCCAATTGGATCATATACTTAGAGTAAAAATGTCCTCTCATTTTAAATTCAACTTATAAGAGTATATGATGACTTGCTACGGGTGTGACCCAAAATCAGGACAGTATATGTATTTCATTGACACCAATGGCAATTATAGACTTTATAGCTTCATTTGGTACTAAGTTAAACTCAAGGACAGTTTTGCTGTGGACAAAAAATGGTATAAAATGCACAATATAAACATAGGGGTAGCAAATGACTCTTGGACACCATAATAATGTAATCCAAAGTCTGAAGGAGTTTTTGTTTTGTTTGGACTTTTAAGTTACCGCTTTTATAACCGATCATATAAGCAAATTTCATATTCCAAAAATGATGGTCAATGAGAGTGAGGGATAGCTCAAGTGGTTAGAGCTTCCCTCCCGATTTCAGGAGATCCTGGGATCGATCGATTCTCATCCCCGCCCTCGTGGTTCTCTTAACACCAAAAAAAAAAATGATGGTCAATGCAACTTCACATTTGTATGATTAAGCGGATTGCAATTACTAGTATATCAATTTTCTCTATAAAGAGATCAAACCATACCCCAACCCTCTCAACTCTGGTTGTATCATACTCTATTAGCATCATCATCCAGCAAATGTGAATAGTCAACTAGCCTAGTACAGGGCAAAAAATGAAAATCTTTGAAATTCAAAAGCAACGAAATAAGGTATTTATATACTACCTCTGTTAGTTTTTATGTACAACTTTGGGGTATTATTTGTGAGATATAAAATATTTCAAAGTTGCACATAAAAATTAACGGAGGTAGTATAAACCAATGTGTTGTAAGATATGAGTAACCAAATAACAATACAAACGTTTTTCCAAAAATAAAATACATGAGCATACTAAACTTAGCCCCAGATTAAGAGCATCTCTAATTATTCGCCATTAATTTGAATAAAATCAGTTTCATGGGAAAGATTCTTCCCTTGGTTTCCCTTGTGCAATACTAAGCTCTCCACAAAAGTCTCAAGAGATTTACACCCATCAATATTCAAATGTTGTATAAGATGACTTCTAAAATTATAAGAATACAAGTTAGGACTTCTCTGTACGAAAAATGTATTCTCCTCAACATGGAAAATCTTTGTAAAAGTACTACTTTTAAAAAACTGAAGAGCTGTCAAATTTGAATCTCCATTATACCACAACTGCCATGATTTCTGTCCACCAACCTCTATCAAAACCCATATGCAGGTATGCTCAGATGACATACTGAAAACTGCTATTGACTCACCAAGTACAAAATTAAATTTAACCTTATTTTGTTTCGCAGCATCAGGCAACTCTACAAAGCCAAATTCCTCCAAATCAAAATCAAACGATGCAAGATGAGTCTGTAAGCCAGAAGCAGGATCAGAGCTGTACCAATCAAATCCTATACAGTACATAGAACCTTTTAAATGAATAACATTCCCAAGATAGAAACTTAAAATCCCTTGAATGTGGACATCCAACCTATCTTTAATCCTCCAAAGGTGGTCATTGAGAGAATAAACCGCAATTGAATACTCGGTAGACTTAATAAACCCGATAGCAAGCAGCTTATAATCATTCATAGACGGAACAAAACCCAGCCAATAATGTAAGAAATTATGTTTTATAGAAATAAAAGGCCAAGATGGAATCAACCATAACTTTCGAATAAAGGGATTATACAAACCAATAATATTAACACTAAAGTATCTGATCAAAATCAACCCATAACAACTACCTAAGACAAAGCAATAGTCAGGAATTTTGACAAGCACGTCAATTTTCCCAAGTGTGTCACTGCTATGAATGCTATATCTCTTACCCCAATCTGCGGCTAACAAATAAGTTTGACTGCGATTGTTGTTGTAAATTTGAAGATGAAAAGGAATGAAATCAGAGGAATCAATTAATGAACACCAGGTTTTGCAAACACACCTGAATCTCATTAGGGTTTTTGCCGGCAGCCTGGATAAGATCTCCCTACACAATTCCGTCGGTAAATCCGGTAATTCGTCGTCGGATATTATCTTTGATTCGGCCATTGTAATCAAATTAGGCTAAACTGAGACTGTGATTGATGAATTGAAGAGAGACCAATTGATATGACTCACAAAAAGATAATTATATCATCTAAAAATTTGATTTTATCATCGACACTGTGATTATATTATTTGAAAGGGTCAAATTTTAAATCTACAATAATTTATTGCAGATCAGGTCCATACAAGATCAATTGATTGGGGTAATCCCAACCTAATCTAATATATATACTACCCCGTTAATTATTATGTGCAACAAAGGAATACTCCCTCCGTTTTTTTTTTATATGCATCACTTTCCTTTTATGGGTGTTTTTTTTTATATGCATCACTTCTATATTTAGTAAAGTTATAATATATTTTATTATTTCTCTCTCTTACTTTAAACCCCACTCAAATTATTTTATCATTTCTCTCTCTTCTATGTCCTCACTTAAATAATAAAATATTTATTCTCTCTCACATACTTTTTCTTTCATGGTCTCCATCATACTTTTATTATAATAATTTATTCACCCACTCACAATATTATATTTATCTCCTAAAACTATGTGCATTCCCAAGTGATGCATATAAAAAAAACGGAGGGAGTATTTTATGTCTTATAAATAATACTCCCTCCATCCCTTTTTTACATTTTTGCTTTCCTTTTTGGGTATTCTAAAATTACATTCCTCCTTTTTTTTAGTAAGTATTTTTTTTCCAAATATCTCAAATTATTCCTCTTTTTGTGTTTTGTAATTAATGTGCACTCTTACTTTTCTATTCTCACCCTTATTTTCCCCCTATAAAAATTTACCATTCTTGTGCCTAAATTTAGATGAATATGATTGGTTTTAAATTTTCCCATAAGAACATGTTATTGGTCCTTTTTTTTTTACAAAGGATTGATGACATGGCATCATTTAATATTAATCTATCTTTGTTTTACTCAAATACATCATTTAAAGTTTTGTACTTCCCATTGTGTTTTGTTTTATTGTTATTTGTTTTAGTCTTAATTCCTTAATTCCCGTGTAATTTACAAACAAGAATGTAAAAAAGAGACGGAGGGGTACCCCTTTGTTGCACATAATAGTTAACGGAGGTAGTATAAGGGAGTTCTCCCAATGTTTTAGATAGTTATAATATTATCTTTTGATGTAGGAAAATTTACAAATTGTAACTATTAAAAGTTCGTATTTTGCAAATTGCAGGCATTTAATTTTTTAATTTTTTTTTGCTATTTGCAGCCCAAAAGTTCGTATAAATTGTAAATTGCAGCCCAATTCAACTTTTACATTGATTTACATGTCAAAAAAAAACCTTCGGTTAAAGTTTTAGGGGCCATTTTAGTGCTTAAGAGACCGAATTGAGATCGAAATTAGCAAAAAATAACATTAGCAAAAAAATAACATAAAAAATTATAAACCGGTAAATTGATCGTTTAAAGGCAAATGGGATGGTTCCACCACCCAATGGGACTCCTGGAAGGTATTAGGGATCATGGTAAACATTTCGGAAATTTTTATTTTCGGGCTAATAAAAGTCAAAAATTACAAAATTGAAGGCTAATATCCACGCTTTTTGAGAAATTTTGGAGGTCGGAGCCCGGTGTCGAAAAGTCTTGAAATTCTAGGGGATACATCTCGGGGTCATATAATGTCGTTTGTAGCCTTGATTTAATGTTATAATCAATATATTATTATGTCATAAATGTTCGTCGTAGGCTTGATTTAATGAAATCGATGCAGGTTGTAATAAACCGGTAAATTTGCCGTTTAAAGGCAAATTGGATAGTTCAACCAACCCTATTGGACTTCTAGAGGGTATTAGGAACCATAGTAAAAATTTCGGTAATATTTATTTCCGGCCGAAATAGTCAAAAAAATTGCAAAATTGAAGACTTATTTCCACGCTTTTTGAGAAATTTTGGAGGTTTCGGGACACGGTGTCGAAAAGACTTAAGATTTTAGGAAATACATCTCGGGTTCATATAATGACGTTTGGAACCATATCTGATCATTTTATGTTGTCATAAATGTTCGTGGTTGGCTAGATTTAATGAAATCGGTGCAATTTATAAATCGATAAATAGGTCGTATAAACGCAAATTGGATGGTTCCACCAACCTAATTGGACTCCTAAATGGTATTAGGGATCATGGTAAATATTCCGACAATTATTTTTCTAGGCGAAAAAAGTCTAAAAATTCCAAAAATAAAGGCTAATTATCCACGCTTTTTGAGAAATTTTGGAGGTTTAAGGGCCCGGTATCGAAAAGTCTTGAGATTCTAGGGAATATATCTCAGGGTCATATAATGTCGTTTGGAACCATATATGATTATTATTTGTTGTCATAAATGTTCGTGATAAGCTTGAGTTAATGATATCGGTGCAAGTTGTAAACTAGTAAATTGGTCGTTTAAAGGCAAATAGGATGGTTCCACCCACCGAATTGGATTACCGAAGGGTATTACGGACCATGGTAAACATTCAGAAATTTTATTTCAGGAGAAAAATAGTCAAAATTTTCAAAAATTGAAAGCTTATATCCACGTTTTTGAGAAATTTTTGAGGTTTCAGGTCACGGTGTCGAAAAGCCTGAGATTTTAGGGAATACATTTCGGGATTATATAATGTCGTTTGGAACCATAAATTATCATTATATGTTGTCATAAATGTTCGTGGTAGGCTTGAGTTATTGAAATCGGTGGAAGTTGTAAATCAGTGAATTGGCCGTTTAAAGGAAAATTGGATGGTCCCACCCACCCAATTGAACTCGCGGAGGGTATTAGTGATCATGTTAAACATTTCAGCAATTTTTATTTTTGGGCGAAAAAAGTCGAAAAATTCCAATATTGAAACCTAATAACTACGCTTTTTGAGAAAATTTGGAGATTTTGAAGCCTGGTGTCGATAAGCCTCGAAAATTTAAGGATTACACCTCGGGGTCATATAATGTCGTTTGAAATCATATATAATCATTATATGTTGTCATAAATGTTTGTGGCAGGCTTGAGTTTATGAAATCGGTACAAGTTGTATACCGGTAAATTGGACGATTAAAGGCAAACTGGATGGTTCTATCCCCCCAATTGGACTCCCGGGTGATATTAGGGACCATGGTAAACAATTTGACAATTTTTATTTCCGGGCGAAAAAGTCAAAAAAATTCAAAATTGAAGCTAATATCCACACTTTTTGAGAAATTTTAGAGGTTTCGGGGCCCGGTTTCGAAAAGTCTTTAAATTATAGGGGATATATCACGGGGTCATATAATGTCGTTTAGTACCATATATGATCATTATTTTTTGTCATAAATGTTCGTGGTAGGCTTGAGTTATTGAAATCAGTGCAAGTTGTAAACCGGTAAATTGGTCGTTTAAAGGAAAATTGGATGGTTCCACCCACCCAATTGGAATCTCGGAGGGTATGAGGGACCACGGTAAACATTTCGTCAAATTTTATTTTCGGGTGAAAAAAAATAAAAAAAATTCCAAAATTAATTGAAGTCTAATATTCACGCTTTTTGAGAAATTTTGGAGGTTTGGGGGACCGGTGACGAAAAGACTCGAGATTTTAGGGGATACATCTCGGGGTCATATAATTCCATTTGGAACCATATATAATCATTATATGTTGTCATAAATGTTCGTGGTAGGCTTGAATTAATGAAATCGGTGCAAGTTGTAAATCGGTAAATCGGTCGTTTGAAGGCAAATTGGTTAGTTCCACCGACCCAATTGGACTCTCGAAGGATATTAGGGACCATGGTAAACATTTCGGCAATTTTTATTTCCAGGCGAAAAAAAGCCAAAAAATCTAAAAATTGAAGGCTTTTTGAGAAATTTTGGAGTCTTAAGGGCCCTGGGTCTAAAAGTCTTGAAATTCTAGGAAATACATCTCGTGGTCATATAATGTCTTTTGAACCCATATATGATCATTATTTGTTTTCATCAATGTTCGTGGTAGGATTGAGATAATGAAATCGGTGCAGATTGTAAGCCGGTAAATTGGTCGTTTAAAGGAAAATTGGATGGTTCCACCCACCCAATTGGAATCCCGAGGAGTATTAGGGACCATGGTAAAAATTTCGACAATTTTTTTTTTCCGTGAGAAAAAAAGTCAAAAAATTCCAATTTTGAAGGCTAATATCCATGGTTTTTTAGAAATTTCGAAGGTTTCATGTCCCGGTGTCGAAAAAAAATAAGATTTAAGAGATATATATCGATGTCATATAATGTCGTTTGGAACCAAAAAATTTCATTATATGTTGTCATAAATGTTCGTGGTAGGCTTGAGTGAATGAAATCGATGCAAGTTGTAAACCGATAAATTGGCCGTTTAAAGACAAATTGGATGATTCCACCCACCCAATTGGACTCCCAGAGGGTATTAGGGACCATGGAAAATATTTCGCCAATTTTTATTTCAGGGCGAATAAAAGTCAAAAAATTCTAAAATTGAAGGCTAATATCCACACTTTTTGACAAATTTTTGAAATTTCAGGGCCCGGTGTAGAAAAGGCGTGAGATTTTAGGGGATACACCTTGGAGTCAAATAATTCCGTTGGGAACCATATATGATCACTATATGTTGTCTTAAATGTTCATGGAAGGCTTGAATTAATGAATTCGGTGAAAGTTGTAATTCGGTAAATTGGTCGTTTAAAGGAAATTAAAGTGGATGGTTCCACCGACCCAATTGGACTCCCAGAGGGTATAAGGAACCATGGTAAATATTTCGGCAATTTTTATTTTCAGGCGAAAAAAGTCAAAAAATTCCAAAATTAAAGGCTAATTTCCACACTTTTTGAGAAATTTTGGAGATTTCGAGGCCCGTTGTCGAAAACTCTTGAAATTCTAGGGGATATATCTTGGGGTCATATAATACTGTTTGGAACCATATATGATCATTATTTGTTGTCATAAATGTTCGTGGTAGGCTTGAGTTAACGAAATTGGTGCAAGTTGTATACCGGTAAATTGGTCGTTTAAAGGCAAATTGTATGGTCCCACCCA